ATTGAATTCTCAAGGCTGTGATAGATCTACAACTCATTTTTAAATCCATAAATTTGTTTCAAATATTGTAATACCAAATTCTGCTGCAAAAGACATAGCACTGTATTATTTATTAACCATTCAAATACATTCGCACGTAAGTTGATGTTGAACAGAAAATATACAATATTTAAACTATTGGAAATTTTAATCTAGAATAAATATCTTTCTATCTTCGCATACTCATATGAACATAGTATAGAAATAGATATAATAATTATGCAGTCAATAAGTTTTTAATAAATGAGTCTTTACATCAAGGTTAGAAGCGATCATGAATGAAGTATTGATGTTATTAGTCATCTTCATAAATAGATAATCATTAAAGTGTTATTAGGATAAATATATTTGACAAGTGAACACCTTTTACTATTTCTGTTTTCATGTTTCAAATAAGTGTTAGATCTTTCATTGTATAGGTCAGTAAATGAATTTTGATTATCATCGAATAGTAGTTAATAGTAGATTAACTATGAGGAACTATTTAAAAATGTAATCAGATTTAGGTGATATCACACTATGTTATTCATTATTAAAATAATCTTAAAAACATATTTTCCAGTTTTAGTTAATTGTTTCTATCAATTTTATTGAATCTATATACGATATTATATTGATAATAAAAATTCATGTGCATTCATCTTCTCAAGTACAAAAATCAACAAAAGGATCACCCTACCGTACATACAAGGAATATCAGAGACTGCAACGAGACTGCTGAAAACCTTTGGGATAGGTGTGGCACACAAACCAACAAAATCACTACAATCAATCCTATGCAAACCAAAGGATGAAATAACAAAGGAAAACAAATCAAACATCATCTACAAAATAAATTGTACCAACTGCAACAAACACTACATCGGACAAAGCGGACGCCCCCTCCACCTACGCTTACATGAACATCAATTAGCAGTCAAACGCCATGATATCTCTTCACTTATATCAATACACGTGGATAACTACGGACACTCATTCTATTGGGAAAATGTAGAAATCTTAGACAGAGGAAACTCCAAAAACACCAGAGAATTTATAGAAGCCTGGCACTCAGATCAATCAGCATTCATCTTCACTTTTCCTACTTGCTCCACAAATTTTTTTTCATGTTGAACATACCATACATGTAATAAGTGTGAATAATATTCACTGATAATGCTATACTGATGTTCGAGAATATGAGGAAAGCACCCAACTGCCTCACAAGTCAAGCCCTCACATGGAATCCTCAAGGCCAAAAGAAAAGAGGAAGACCAAAGAACACATTACGCCTGGAAATGGAGATAGACTTGAGAAAAATGAACAAGAATTGGATAGAATTAGAAAAGAAGGCCCAAGACAGAGAGGGTTGGATAATGCTGGTCGGCGGCCTACGATCCAATAGGAGTAACAGTCGTAAGTAAGTAAGTAAGTAAGTATGTTCGAAAACTCAATGGTTTGATTAGTCTGTGTCGTAGCATAGATGTTAATTTGCAGCTTTCTTTGTGAAGATTTTATTTGATAGATCGCTAATATTAAAGCTAACGATATATGTTAAAGCTAACAAAGTTTAAAACGTGCTTTGGAAACTGTTCAGTTTTATACAGAAATGAAAAGAACCATAACATTATCTGTTCATATACAAGTTTTGATGAGTCAGAATAAATTATTATAAAGACTGTCCTATTTTAAAGAAAACATTTTAATCATGCATTTATGGAGGTTAATTTCACTATTTAGCAGCGCGCATTGACAACAGTGTACACAGGGATAGAACCCAGGACATTTATTTTCAAGCATGAACTCTTAAGCTCTAGACCGATGAGTCGGCATTTTATTAATTCGTGATAATGTCATGAAGGGGGGAAGGTTGAGCATTCTACAATCTGATATGATAAGGCAATCAGAAGTAGCCTAATGAGAAGGTCAATCGATTGCAATCAGAAATCACCTGAAGGAGGAGTGCATTTCATTAGCTAAGAAATGGACTGATTTCCTAAGGGGTAAAGTTGTGTGTTTTTGATGGGGTTTTGTTTTTTTGTACAAACTTCAGGTAGGAGTGAAGTGTTAGAATTCTAGTCTAATGTGTCCACAGAATGTTCATATCTTGGAAAGATGCAATTTTAAACACATAAGAGAATTTTTAAAAGCTTGACACTCAGATCAATCAACAACCAACCAACACATTGAAATAGATCCAAATTATCAACCAATCAGAAAAACTATCGATAAATATAGGACGAAAAGTCAAATCAGTGGGAGATACAACCAAAATGAAGAAGTAAACAATGACAGGTTACAGGTCAACAATAACCAATTAAGATCGAGGTCTGTGAGCCATATGTAGAGAAATTCGAACACTTCACTTCTATCTGGAGTTTGTACTGATAATGTCTTTCAGAAGAACGGTGAAAGCTCCACAACCAAACCATCCAGCTTAGAGAACAAACCTCCATCAAAATAATCCACCTGAGATGCATATCTTCACCACCATCTCAGAGTTGTATGTGTATAAATGTATATATATTTATATTTTATTTGCCAGTCTAATATACTTTTTCGCTCACTTTTGTAATCTCATCCAAGTAGTCAGTTAAAGGGTTGGCGTTTAGCACGTTGTGTATCAGTATAAGATTTCAGACACTTCCAATCATGATACAATCTTCGAAATTCCCTATTTGAATATAATCTTTCCAATATCTCAATTCAGTTTCTATTGTAAATTTGTTTGAAGTACTGTCATTTAGAACTGATTAACTTATATTGTGACCAATTTACGTTAATTTAGTCACAGAGTAATTCTCAAAAGTGGACACCGTTATTTGCAAAGTGATTGGCATAGATCGGCTTTCTGTATGACTTTCTTTTGATTATCAAATTAATTATCATCATCTGGATAACGTCAAACAGAATACAGTCCTTTTGTATGGAATCACCTGTCTTCACAATTGATTGATCACTGGGTGGTGATCAATGTCTTGCTTGTCTAGTCCTTATTGGTGCAGATCGAATGCTATCGATCATGTTGCAATGTGGCCACCAGTCTAGGTGACTCGACACTGCGGGCACTATGTATTGAGATTTAGATGGTGGTTGGAGGTAGTCAACAGAAAACCCTGGACCCGGATTTCATGCTAATTGGTACTCGTCAGCAAGATGTACATGTAATCTTGAGGGAACTGGTACTCCCTGACGGCTTAGATCCCGTGTCACCCAGCTTCACGGTCTGTCATGGAGCACCAGTTCCCTCAAGCTTATAGGTACACTTTGCTGACGAGTGGCATGAAGGCCTGTATCTTGAAAAACGATCAACAAAATTGAAATTTCCATCGATATTCTCAATGACTTTGTCAGATAACGACTGTGAAAGTAAATTAACCACCTTACTGTTCAGGGAAATGAGAAATAGTATTAATTGCAAAATGTTCCAAGTTATTAGGCAATTTTATTTACATTCAGTCACATTGTCGGTATCATAAGCATATTAAATGAATTTCGAGTAAATGAACTCTACTGAACAATTATACCAACAATGTTATTACCTGTTTTTCAGTTACTTCTTCAATCTGCCTAAATAATCTCTTTCTTTGTTCAACATTTTTCTGAATCTTCATCGGTTTCAGATAGATGAGTCTTGATCTGACAGTTATACCTAGTAGTTTTAATTTCGATACCTGGATATGATATTTCCCATTTAAATTTTAAGCATGGCCATCACAAGATACAAAGATGAAGATTTATTTAATAGAGACTAAAAAAGACTGATATCAGCAAATAGTGAACTTGTATAAATATATACAAGGATTCTGAAAATAGTCATAAACCTTAGGAAACTAAATGAGGCACCGAGAAATACTCAAACAGTAACTTTAACCTTGGTAAAAATGGACGATGGATTGCTTGAAGAGATCTGATGCTAAAAATAAGATACAAATTTTACAAATGAAAATAATAGACACCAGTAAATAAATGAATATCTGAAGATTTATTAGGTGAAAAAACTCTCGGGTAAGTTATTCATAGCACAAAAATAATTCAATGTCTCATTCTACCAGTATCCTTGCTCAAAATAGACTTCATTAAAAACAAATCGGTACAAAGATTCGACAAACATTTGAAAAATTAATCCAAATACAAATTACTACAATGATGATAAAAAAATAAACATTCAAAATATAGAAATGAATTAAAATTGCATGTATTGCGTTTAGGTTTTTGTTTATTCAGATAATTCATGAAAGAATCTATATACGAATCAGTTTAAATCATTATTACTTTTATCACAGATACAATTGATTAGCTTTTGATCCATCTCCATGATAACAGTTATTGTTTTTTTTTACATTTAATTTATCATTTTGTGTAGATTTACTATGAGAACTATCTGACATGGTATGCGGGATTTGTTACTTAAAGATCCTATCATTTGTTGCTGATTAAGTGACTTATGCTGTAGTATGCCAGTAAGATTTAGATCTGACATAATATGACTTCTAATTTGAAGAACTAATTGCAAATTAATAAGAGTTTAATTAAGCTATCATCTTAGCTCATCATTTGTTTCAGTTATGATAAGCACCATGTGATAATGACAGTTTGCTGATTATTATGCATAGATTGTGAACATTTGATGATGAATGGAAAAATGTGAATTCTTGACACAAATTTTAACATGAACATGAGCCAGAAATCAGAATAATTGATTCATAATTCTTATTTCTTTGTTTAATAGAGTAACTCAATGACATCGGAAATATTGAATACAAAAATAGTTCATGGTTATAAAATGTATAAATTAGTTTGTATGACTCGATTTTATGATCTTCTCAATAGTCGATAAAATTATGAACTGTCTATTAAAATTAGTTCTTGTTAGCCATACAACATTTGCATGTCTATAATATACATTTATTCAGATGACTAATACAAGATTATTTATAACTGAATATTTACAGAAAGAAAGATTAATTTATTATTGTAGTTTAAGCAAACAGTAAATCAGCTCTTGATTTTTGTATAATAATGGCTCCTGATGCTTCGAAATTTGTATCAGTGTATACTCTAAACCCTTTAAGTTGATTGAGCTTCTTGTTCAGTCTTGCCAAAACAATCCCAAGATATGCATCATCAATACGAAGATTTTGTGTAAATGACATTGTAACAGAAGCATCACATACAACGTCAGCTCCAATCATATAGCCAATACCATAAAAGTATGGAGGATAATAACTCCATGGATATTCATGAGGTGAAACATCCCACTTTGAGTTGTAAGTTTTATTTTGTGGTCGTGATACAACTGATGTTGCATGAATTGGACCACCGACATATGACTTCATATCTGATATTTTAATTGACTTTACGAGTTTCATTGTATTGTTCGGATGAAGTACATAATCATCGTCAATAAATAAAAATAATGGCGTTATATTCTTACAGAAGGTACACGCCCAACGAAAAGATAACATCATTTTCGTAGTTAAATTGAAGTAAGTATCAAAGAAACCACCAACCAACATGTCACCATAAAATCTGCTTTCATTTCTCAACTCTTTTATTACCGACCATCGGGAAAATTCACGTTTTCTCGATTCCGACCATGATTTCCCATTCAACTGAATATTTACACCATCAAAATGATAAATATTTGTTTCATTTGGTATTGGTAATCCAACAACAAATACAAATCTGACTGCAAAGTTATTCCACAGACTTATGTTCATGTATGTTTTACGCGCGTATGATCGTTGTTCATAGCAATAAATGCAAGATTTGATTAAAACGACCAAATTTAGTTTCTGTTTTTCATGACAAGGATCACAAGCACTTCTTGGAGTTTCCAAAACAAATAGATGTTCATTATTTATGGGGACCTAAAGAAATATTTAAACAAATATAATAATATTTTTTTTGGTAAGCTTTCTTCTTAATAGAATTTGTCAATTTAAAGATCGAAATTAACTATCTTAAATAGTTTTATTTTAAATCTTTACTAAAAACAATATTGAAAAACAAGAAGAGTTTCACAGTGATTTCAACAAATTCTACTAAATATTGGACACTAACACATTCGTTTTTCTGTTAACATTTCATGTATAGTCATTCGTTGCAAAGTTTGTTTTTCAAATCTTAACACATAGTTGACGGATCACAACTGTCTAATTTAAATATGGAATTATTTATTTATTTATTGTTAATCATTATCGTTGTGATGCGTTTTAGGTTTTATAACAGAAATATAATTTGTCAAGATCCATGAACCTTGGTCTATCATACATGAACATGATACTAGATCACGTGATACACAGTTACTCTAATCCGGCTGTTCTTTAGAGAATCAGATATAGACCAGAATAATTGTTAATGGAAATAACATACAAAATAGTCCGTAAGTATTATAGTTGGAACAAATTGGTTTCGAACGCGGAATGAACTTTACAATACCAGATAGTCTCTGATACTTGGTGAAGTTGGATATATCTGTTTCTAATTCTTCACCGATTAAAGGTCATTTCGTGAGAACACATTAAAATGCTTTATAAATTCTGTAATATAATTTACACCATAAACCAGTGAAAAACTACAGTTGCCGCCGATAGGAAGCATAGATCATATTCAGACTCAGATCAGGAGTATCTTGATTGTTGTTTTATAAATGAGTTGAATTATTTATCGGAATCAATTCTTAAAACTCACTCATTCACTCACTTGCCCATATTACGATTTCAATCAGTCATAATGAATCTAATAAGTGATAATGAATCAAATTAGCTATAAACTACTGAGAGAAACATTTTTCAGAAAGAAACGAGTACTGAATTGATTATGATGGTAATGAATTTAAATGTGATATAAATAGTATCCACATACTGAATCTTGAACTCGTAGTTGCATTAAATAACAAGAGCCTTATTTATAAATCTGTATTGATATTCCTGATTGTAATCGGATTTTCTTATAGCACTGTATCTAAATTCACTCGTTTTTCCACTATGAAAACTGAGAAGAAATTTGTTAAGCTTTTGAATAAATATAATCGATATATAATCAATGGATAATAACTAAGTTTCTATTACGGATTTACAGCAATAAATTGAACAAAAATTCGACACGTTTATTTACTGTTGTTAACATAGTTCTACATGTACTCTTTAGATCATAGCTAATGAGTTAGCGGTTGTCATACATTATCGATAATACCAATGTTGTCATTGAAAATATTGATCAAAATAATTAGATTTTGACAGGTTACAAAATCAAACTGCTAGTAAGTTCAAATAATAGTGAAGCTTTTAAGTTAAAAACCTTGTCTAAATGTTGGTTTATTAATTATAATATTAAAAGATGGTTCTGCTTGTTAACTCAAAGAATAATGAACTTGTTCTATGGAGTACATAAATTGGTGTATTAGTAATTTGTCAGCATGTCTAAGTTATTGAGGTAAAAATTATTTACATAGATAAAACGAAATCAATTCATAGCTAATTAATTATTATTATTATCATCAGATTTATTCAATATTATATTTTTGGTACAATATAGAATTTTCAGCACAAAGTATTTCAACAAGTTTCCGCTTCTTTCTTCTTGGTCGGTCCTGGCGATAAATATTGAGTGATCGCCAGTTAGATGTTAGCAGTTCACTAAATGAGCATCTGAATAACGTACATTCTTTTCGTTGTACATTGTCTCTTATTGAGTTTTTTGTAACTTTGACAACCAAAAGGTTGTGCACATTTCAGAAGCGCAGCAGAATAGGTTATGCGATTAATAAACATAATGATATATTAAAACAAATAAAAATAAATAACTTGTTGAAATATCTAGATGGCAGGAACAGGTAGCCCAGATGCTCAAGCAGGCCGCCCTGATCATGATGACTAAACTTTAAAATGAAGAGACTTTGACTTACAGTGTAAGAAAGAGTATTAAATCTATGGAGAGATTCATATTTTAAACATCATTTGAATTGTTTCAACTGCCTAAATCAATGATCAAGTCAACCAATATATACAATGAAGTTACGAGTCAGAATTCATGGATTTAAACAAATTACTTTTACGTTTCATCATTAATTATTATCTACAAGAAAATTTGATTCTAAAATAACGAGTGAATTTATATACAAAACTATGAGGAAATCCGATTACAATCAGGAATATCAATACAGATTTATAAATAAGGCTCTTGTTATTTAATGCAACTACGAGTTCAAGATTCAGTATGTGGATACTATTTATATCACATTTAAATTCATTACCATCATAATCAATTCAGTACTCGTTTCTTTCTGAAAAATGTTTCTCTCAGTAGTTTATAGCTAATTTGATTCATTATCACTTATTAGATTCATTATGACTGATTGAAATCGTAATATGGGCAAGTGAGTGAATGAGTGAGTTTTAAGAATTGATTCCGATAAATAATTTAACTCATTTATAAAACAACAATCAAGATACTCTTGATCTGAGTTTGAATATAAATATACATGATTATAATCAAATATAAATATCATTATATCAAATTAAATTTCAATGAATATAACATACTTCATTTGGTGGAAATCCATTTGACATCGCATTCAAATATTCAGTCATATTGAAATATTTTGGATAATGTCTTTCATTTACAGATTTATTATTTTTAATATATGATATACTTTTATTATTAATTATATCAGTATAAATTTCATTGAATTGATATGTTGTATTCATAGAATCAGATAATATATTCAATTGATTTTTAAAATTTAAAAGTTCTATTGTTTCATTGAATATATTCAAAGAAAAATATGTAAATTGAAATAATTCTGTAGATATTGGAGTTGTTTTTAATTGATTCGAATTATTAACATGTAAATGATTTAAAGTATTAATAAATGTTAACCATGAATTTTGTGATTGTACAATTTTTGTAAAAATATCATTTATACATAATGTAGATGATTTATTTGTATAAATTATATGATCATGTTTATTTAAAATATGATTATATATATATATATTAATAAGTAATCCAATAATAATTAATATAACTTTCCAATATTTAATCAATTTAATTGAAGGTATTATTATACTAGTTCTCATTTTTATCGATACAATAGACAATCTGAAATAGGAGAACAATACTATAAAATAAGAATAACAAATTATATATATATATATATATATATATATATATATATATATATATATATATATATATAAAGTTCAATGCAAATAGATTCACAGAAATATGATTACTTTGCACTTGAAAAATAAAATTTAAGATTCTATTCGAATTTCGTATTCTAACTAGTGACGATTAAAAGAACCGATCAATGTTCATTATAATTATTTATATTGTGATTGCTACTTTTATATTGAGTTCATATTTTAAACTTATAACTGAATGTGATTAATTCAAATGAATATTTAGAATAATTGTCTATTTGTATCCAAAAATGTGTGTTGTATTGATTAATGTATAGTCACAAAAATAGTACTCGTTTTAACTTATTATCGATTGATCATTAAACATTCATTATTATTTATGATGAACTTGACATTTTTAAATGTACATATGAAAAATTACAATTTTTTTCTTTTTTTTTTAATCTTTCTGTGTTTCAGGAAATATGCGTCCTTCTTTATCTTATTATAATATTATTATTATATTTTTTAGATAATAAACATTTATTATCAGAAAGGGTTTTGTAGTGAGTTTAGAAATTTCACTGATTGAAATCACGAGTTAATTGAAGCTAGATCACCATGGAAAACCTGGAAGTACCGGACGGCCGTTTCGTCCTAGTATGGGACTCTTCAGCAGTGCACATCCACGATTTCGCACCCCGCAAGATTCAAACTCAGGTCCTATCAGTCTCGCGCCAGGCGTTTAATCAACTAGACCACTGAGCCGGCGTTCAACGGTGTTAATGTTTAATTTCAACCAATCCACGAAGTTGCGCCATCATACACCATTGTCTTCAGTGAGTTGATTTCTCACAACAGACCTGGTTGAACTCCACTGGTAACGGCTTCTCACTAGAACTCCAGGAGTATCTCTTGAAGTCAGTCACTATTGAGCAGATGATGAGCACTGCTGAGGAGTCCCATAATAGGACCAAACGGCCGTTCAGTGCTTCCAGTTTTCCATTGTGGCCTAGCTTCAATTGACTCATGATTTCAATCAGTGAAACATTAGTTTTGAATTTATAGTTGGATGATAAAGTGAACATAACATTAAGAACAAAAATTATACCTAATCTTCATTGATTAAACATTGTTTATTATTCACTTTCCTCTATAATATTTTAATAACATAACTTTTTACTCATTGAATCAATGATAGTAATAGTAGCTGTAGTTACAAAGTATGACAAATATAATTTCATTATTGTAGTATTGATGACTTGACAACTTAAAATGTTAACTAATTTAAACTCGTGAATAATCTATTTACTTTGTTGATGTTAGTGAACTTTTTAACTGTTTTATTGTATGATTACATAATAGTGGTTTCTTTTCATTATTGCTTAATTATATAAATACTGGTTACCAATGATTTTTAATAATCCGTTTATTGATTTTATAATAATTAAAATAATCTAAGGTTAAAAAAGAAGCCTATAAGTTTAAAAAGAAGTATATTTATTTTCTACAAGTTATACTCTTTTCAAATATGTATGAACTTAGGAACAAATAATTGATTTCAATTCTCTGTCATCTATTAGTTACATCAGAATAATAATTTCTATGAATAAAATTTATTTCTTTTCATAATTTTGATAGAATAAATCACTAGAATAGTGATTGATGTAATAATATAAAAAAGAACCAAATATTTTAAAATGAAACTGGTATGTTGTACATCTTTATTTAGTGTTCATTTTACACATAACTAAAACTAAACAAAATTGTCTCATAAAACTGAAATGTTTTCAATTCGCTCTCTCATAAGCTATTAGATACTCAAAACATTTCTCTTAGGAACGGTAAAATATATTGAAAATAAAGTCATTTTAATGCAGTGATCAAATAGAGATTCCTGTCCTTTCTTTAGTTAATTTAACTAATATTATCTAAATTCTATTCGGTATCAGTGGTGTGCTTCGTTCCAATTAAGATCGACCAAACTGATCCATTCACATTTCAGTAAGTAATGGTGTTATCAGTATGACGGTAATTTAGGGTTACATCCGAAAGAAGAATAACTGCTAGGTATCATTTGTGGACTATTATATGTATATTCATATTCCTTTTATCATAAGCTTTCATTTGGCCTATTGACTACTGTTATACGATCTACCATTCTTAATTTATTCCTAATCTGTTAGTTTCAGTCTCCTAAACACATAACAACTTTTGGCTTGATGTTGTACGATTATTATTTTGCATTTTATAGTGTGATGCCGTCCTGCCTGTTTGTATATAAATCATGGATGTCTGAAACATACGATTCACATAGTGGAGGCTGATATTTGTGTTCTTAACTAAACGGGCTGGGTTAGGCATGAAGTTACTATACAAAAGACCACTAACAACACAGAGTTGACTCTGAATTCCTCGTGCTAGTTAACTCATCACTAATTTAGCACATGTACAACATCATATAAATCAGTATTCTGATTGGCAATTTTGTCACGTGATATTTAACGGGCCATAAGTCATAGCATTTAGTATCTGTTACTTCAAACATTGTGTAATAACCGAATAAATTGTAAAAATTATAAAGATCATATTGAACAAGAAACTCATGTTCGATACCATAAATAGCAAGAATAATTAAGAGATTTAAAAGAACAGTGATTTCTACTCCACTTACATGGTTGACTGAAAGATTCCTAATTGTACTACAACTTCAATGGTACAATGAAACTCTGGGTATATGATAGATTTAAAATAGATGGGTATGAAATATGCTTCTGCTTCTATTTTTAATAATGAAGTGTGATTAACTGAATATGGTTTGGTCCAACATGTTATGACTGGAAACTGAAATTAATGTTTCATTAAAAAGTAGTATTGTTTTTAATTTATTCATGAGTTAAATTTTAACTTAAGGTATTACAAATAACCAACGGATATCTTTTTTGAAACTCATTGTTTTTAATCTAAATCAATAACGCCATTCAATAGTATTTTGTAAATTAACCATTAGTTTGTTTACCAAAATGAAAGTTGATTTCATTCATAAATATGTAAATAGGTAGACAAACAATATTAATTGTGTGGTTATTTTGGCAATTTTATGCAGGATAATTTCAAGTTTGTAAGGTAGTCCGTTACATTGACTAAGGTATAATCAAAACACAAATAACAGCTAGTATAATATGCACTTTTAAGAAGTGTGGTAATACATTACAGCTTACAATTTCCAAGCAGTAGTACCTAGTGATTGTTATTAATAGGTCATGTTGTTACAGTGTGGAGGTTTCTATACTGATTTTGAGAGAATCAGTGGTATAGTTCCATAATTTGATTATATTATCCGATAAAGAATACTTTTCATCAACGTATTCCTGGCTTGTTTGTTCATTTATAGGTCTCTATGTATTATGTGTTGATAGCAAGCTGCATTTTGGTACACAGTTAAACATTTCATTTATTCTTGCTTGTTAGAAAGTTGATCACAATAAATACTTCACTGAAAATCACTTCTTTATAAACTGTACAGGTTACATGGTGAGAAACTCACGTGTAAATTAGATCCGAAGTTCATTCTTATTTTATTGGCAACAAAATGTAGTGTAAAATCTCGTTAGATAGAGACTGTCATCTCGTTATGAATGATAAAAAAATGATGAAGGCGACTCATGAGATAATTGTGTAAAGCCCTACTCTTATCAGTGATGATTGTATTCATTACAATTATTCACCTTATAAAATAAAGGTAGCATTTCATAACTTCATATTTTGTCATTATACTAACATGATTTCTCAGTGGAAAGAAATTCACCCATGTATATTCCATGGTGAAACTATCAGTGTACGCAATATCGACCACGTGTAACCAAACATAAGCTGTGTAGTACAGTAAATTTAAAATGAATTCACTTATCGTTAGATTAATTTTATAAATTTAAATGTCTTTCGAAAAAAATAAACGTTTAATCGATGTGTAAAACTCGCCTATGAAATATTCAGCTTAGAATATGTATTGGTAAGATGGGAATTAGTGAGAATCGAACAAGTTACTATGTTGTATGAAATAGCTATATCAAATTTGAACGGGAAGCTGTAGATACAAATGATGTATTATCTACTAAACTTGATAATACTTCCTAACTAATAGTCAGTAACATGTAGATTTTATTCAAATTAATCACTAAAACAAATATAATTCAACTTCATCATGTACTTCATTCAATTGATGACTTTCCACAAAGTAAAGTTAACAGCCTGAATACACATGAACAGTCATAACCAATGATACAAGAGAAAAATAAATGAGGCGTGACCAATGAACAGTACACTATAGTTTACCTTGAGACAAATATCTTGTGAACAACAACTTATGACAATTGTTAAATCATTTTATCCTGTAAAACAACTCGAATTACTTCAGATGAAGATATGTGACCATAACGGAATTGGAAGTTTGAAAATGTATTCAGTAGGAATTAAACAGGAATTAATGCGATTTGAATGTTGTCAACATTTATATTCTAATTATTATACATCATTTACAGTTATCAATGAGAAGATCTCTTAACTCACACATTAACTTCATTGATTCCAATTTAATATGTAAAAAGAATAGCGATACTGAAATCGTACCATTAGTGTACTGGTTTCTAATATGAAGGCATAGTTTCATCTAATTAAATGAATATCATGAATAAAAAGTATTCTCAAGTGAACTATTAGTCTATTTTCTGAATTTAAGTCTGGTTCCTCTTTAGAATAAATAAGAAAACTAAACATTTTTTGTGTCCTATTTCTTTCGTTTTATCAAACGTAATTAGAAGTTAGTTTCTTTAATGATTTGATATATGATTAGTATTGGAATAATTGTTGCGGTTCTCCTCTATCCCATATACATTTGCGTATATTGGATCACATTAGACATGACTTCCGACAAGAAACGGGCAGTAACCTCGTAA